TATTTGTTGTTCTATTTTTATGACAATCATCTTCAAACACAAATGTAATGAATATTGGTTGTATGTCTTTCAATGAAAACTAAGTGAAAAATAAAAAAATGTATGTAGTGCCCCTAGAAGTGGTTGATAGACCAGTTCCTGTGCCATATGGCCTACTGAAAATTATGGAGAACAAGAGGTTAGGCTACCTGCTCCTCCCTTACAGCTGTGGGACTCATTGCCATCTTGCAACCACAGGGCCTCTCAGGTTTCTCACAGCCACATGGCGAAATTGAAAACAACCCCACAGTCCATGGGTAGCTTAACTGGTTTACCTGTAATAGTACAGAGTTTCAAAAAGCACTTTACTTCCTGAGCGAATCTCCCTCTCTCATATCTTAGAATAGTAGTGGAAGCCTCCTTACACTATCCTATGCCCTGAGGGCTATAGGAATGGATACCGGTCACCTACTGTTGCTGTGTATTTGACTCACCAGCATGTGAGAACCCTCCATGCCATGTTAGACATTACACTCATCCTAGCTCGTCCATTGATGCAATGTCCCATCAAGGAACTTGCTTTTCTTGATGCTGTACTTAATAGCATCTGATATTGCAAGGTCCAAAAGATGGTACAACAGTTCTCTTCACATATTAAGAACATATTGTCCTGTAATTAGATTTTCGGTTTCCAGTTTTCTGAGTCTTGGCCCCAAGCTACTCTCTGTCCTTTCCTCTTATATGCATGAACCAGGCCCAAGCTTGGGCCTGTTGAAGAGAAACATGTGGCTATCTTACCACCACCTAATGGAGCTTTCCATGGTCCTGTTCTCCTAAAGGAACCCTAAAAGGAACACTAACCGCCTCTTACCCCTCTTATTTTTTCTGTGGCATACTCCCATGCCATGCCTAGCCACAAAAACAGATTTAAACAAGAACAACAGTGTCACATATACAATGATATAACCTCTTTTAAAACAGTCATCAATGGAACTGCATATATCAGGAACATTATGTTTAAAATGAGTTACAATCCCTAAACAAACTGCAAGAAATACCAACATTTAAACAGATACTGAGAACCAGGTTATCCCTGGCCTACTGGTTGAGGAATCTGTCTCTGGACTTGGGAAAATTATATCTTCCAAAGTCTTGAAAGATCCTAACATTGTATGCCAACCTGGATTGCTTGGGAGGAGTCCTAGACACCTTGTCGGTGTAGGCATCTTGAACAATGGAGGAATCCAATCTCCTGATGAGCATTGTAGAACTCTGGGTGATTTCGTTGTTCATACAAGGCTGGACCTCCCAACTGAAGGGTCATCTGATCTGGAATCAGTTGGACAATGCCATGGCAGTGGTGTATACATCAACCATCAGGGAGAAACCAGAAGTCTTGACACAGAAAGCTCACTCTACTAGATCTGAGATTACTTTTTGGGCTTACAGTATTATTTGTTGTTCTATTTGTATGACGACCATTCATCTCCAAGGAAAAATTGTATGAATATTTGTTGCATTGTTGTTGTATGCCAACCTTGATTGCTTGGCAGGAGTCCTAGACACCTTGTCAGTATAGGCATCTTGAACACTGAAGGAATCCAGTCTCCTGATGAACATTGTACAACTCTGGGTGATTTAGTTGTTCATACAAGGCTGGACCTCCCAATTGAATGGTTATCTGTTCTGGATTCAGTTGGACAATGCCATGGCAGTGGTGTATACATCAGCCACCAGGGAGGAACCAGAAGTTTTGACACAGAAAGCTCACTCTACTAGATCTGAGAGTACTTTTAGGGCTTTTCAGCACCAGGCAACTGTTTCCCAGATTTGCAAGACTGTAACCTGGTTATCTATTCATATCAGGGGCGGACTGATGCAATAAGGGATCATGGGGCCCCTGTGTTCTTGCCCACACTAAAACCACACCCAAAAAAGCCTATGAAAGGTACCAGGGGCTTCTCATGGGGCCCCCTACTGACCCTGGGCCCTCGGACAGTGCCCGAGTTCCCCAATGGTCAGTCCGCCCCTGATTCATATGTTTTCTAAGATTTACCAGCTCAGTTTTGACGCTCAGGCCTCTTCTGGTGCTAGTGCTGGGAGTAGGATACTTTAGGCAGCTCCCAGTTTCATTGTTTTCTTATGTGGGCATGCAATGTTTTGTTACTGTTTGTTTCTTTGTTGCCAGTGTTGAAATCCACTCGTAGATGGCAGTATAACCCAACTGTACAGTAAGTACATTCTCATGCAAATTATTGGAGAGGGTGAGAGGAACTAAGCAGGGCCGTTCCCAAATCTCCTGCAGATGCAACAATGTGCTTTCAGTCTAAAGAGCTGCGGGTAGAGCTAGGCATGGCTGTTCACTGATTGGGCAATCAGCAGTGCCAGCATCTGAGTAGCTACAGCAGCAGCAAGGGTGACAACATCTTGGCAATTTCACTGCAGAAGGAAAAGTGCTGTCACCCCTATCAAAGTTACTGCCCATTCAATGATTCTACTAACAGGGTCAAAGGATATTTACAAATTCCCCCAAGGTGTACTTAGAAAAAGCAACCTATATCTTATATGCAATTTTAAATTTGACCATAGCTCTTGAATGGGTCAAATACATTGTTGTCTATCTCCCCTGAGCTTTGATAGTCTGCCATTGTAGCACTATAGGTACTAAAGCAACAAAAGTTACACACCAAAGTATCCTAACTGGTTATTTACTTGTCGGTAAAATATTATACTACAATAAGTGAAGAGATTAGTATGCTAAACCCTTGGAATAAAAATACAAGAGATGCATCTCTGCTTAAATTTCCTGCCAACTCGCAGCATCAAATATTTCCACATTTTACAGGATGGAATCTTATCTTTTAGCTATTATGAGGTTTAGAGGGGATTAGAAACATTTAACGGTAAACAATACACACAGTAGTCTTTAACAGATTTTATCCGTCGTCCTAACTTGTTACACTGCCTGACTCCATGTTTACCTTACTTCAACTTTTAACCCAAAAACATGACCCCATATATAAGCTCTACATTCTGATTTGTCATTGCTGCCATGAGTATTGTATTAAACCATCACTTCTAATTTTGAAACCAACTTTCCAGTCTTCAGACGTCTGTAGACCTTGCCGTATTTGATGAGAGCTGGGGTCTGTTAATGATTTTCACATTTGTAGCTTGTCACAATTGTTTAATGTGAGCTCTATTAACTAGGCTGCCTGGGGTGATTATCGCTTAATACAGTACAATACCAGGAAGAATATGAGCCGACAGGGAGACTACTGCACATATGGAGGGAAGAAATTATGTTTGGTATGTCCTCTCACTTTGGTCTGCCTGAGATCAATGAGGAGCAAAAAAGACGTTCTGAAAAAAAGGAATACAGGACAAATAAAGTAAATGGCTCATTAGAAACTTGTTGAAGGTACCCTTATTATTTCTATGTTAAGTAATTATCTGTAGCAGCTTTTCTCAACTGGGGTGCAACCAGGGGTTTGTTTGGTATTGTCAGGGCTCCCAGGTGTGACCAGACGTGTGTGACTGACGCAGGGAAACGCAGACTTCAGATATGTGATAAACAATATAATTTATTAACACTAACCATACAAACATAAACGCAGTGCAATACTAAAACATAATACAGTGCAAACAAACCAAACCAACCACCCACAGATAACAGTACATACAAGCAAGCGTCGTCAGGCAGGCCGGGTCAATATCAATAGGGCAGGTAGGTACAGGGGGAGCAAGCGGAGATGGGTCGGGGTCACAGGCCAGGTTCAGCAGGTAGCAAGCAGCATGGTACAGAGGGTCAGGCAGAGGGATGGTCAGGGTCACAAGCCAGGGATTAGAACAGGTAGCAAGCAGCGTGGTACAGAGGGTCAGGCAGAGGGATGGTCAGGAGCAAGCCGGGATCAGAGCAGGAGAAGTCAGCAGCGGTTCAGATCAGGCAGGGTCAGCAAAGGAACAGAAACAGGATGCAGGACAGATACAAGGCCCAGGACAAACACAACACCAAGGCAGAGTCTGCAAGTCTGGCCATCCCTTAAATACACCAGTATCATCAGTTCCAGGTGTTAGCTGGCTGAAAGGTTGAGTCTCTGATTGCTGGGAGCACCCGCTGGCCAGCCCTGGTACTGCAGATCAAAAGGCAGGTGAGTCCCACCATTGCTGGCCAGTCCATTCCTGACAGTACCCCCCCCCTCAAGGAGCGGCCTCAGGACGCTCCAAACAGTCCTAGCTGGGCAAAATGTTCCACCGCCCGGGTCTGGTAACTGGCGGGATATCAAAGACTGGCACACCGGGCAGGACTCCGGGCAGCGGCACACCGGGCTGGACTCCGGGCAGCGGCACATCGGGCTGGACTCCGGGCAGCGGCACATCGGGCTGGACTCCGGGCAGAGGCACATCGGGCTGGACTCCGGGCAGAGGCACATCGGGCTGGACTCCGGGCAGAGGCACATCGGGCTGGACTCCGGGCAGAGGCACATCGGGCAGAGGCACACCGGGGGCAGAGGCACACCGGGCTAAACTCCGGGCAGAGGCACATCGGGCTGGACTCCGGGCAGAGGCACATCGGGCTGGACTCCGGGCAGAGGCACATCGGGCAGGACTCCGGGCAGAGGCACATCGGGCAGGACTCCGGGCAGAGGCACATCGGGCAGGACTCCGGGCAGAGGCACATCGGGCAGGACTCCGGGCAGAGACACATCGGATTACCAGGCGAAGCAGCAGGCAGCGGGCCCCCGGGGCGGAGCAGCAGGCACCGGGCCCCCGGGCGGAGCAGCGGGCCCCCGGGCGGGGCGACAGGCACCGGGCCCCCGGCGGGGCGATGGGCATCAGGCCCCCGGGCGGGGCGACGGGCATCGGGCCCCCAGGCGGAGTGGCGGGCGCCGGGCCCCCAGGCGGGCCGACGGGCATCGGGCCCCCAGGCGGAGCGACGGGCATCGGGCCCCCAGGCGGAGCGGCGGGCGCTGGGCTGGGCCCCAGGCGGGGCGACAGGCATCAGGCCCCCAAGCGGAGCGGCGGGCGCCGGACCCCCAGATGGAGCGACAGGTCTCGGGCCCTCAGGCGGAGCGGCGGGCGCCGGACCCCCAGGTGGAGCGACAGGTCTCGGGCCCACAGGCGGAGCGGCGGGCGCCAGACCCCCAGGTGGAGCGACAGGTCTCGGGCCCTCAGGCGGAGCGGCGGGCGCCAGACCCCCAGGTGCAGCGGCGGGCGCCGGACCCCCAGGCGGAGCGAGGTCTCGGGCTCGACAGGTCTCGGGCTCTCAGGCGGAGCGACAGGTCTCGGGCCCCCAGGCGGGGCGGCGGGCGCCGGACCCCCAGGCGGAGCGACAGGTCTCGGGCCCCCAGGCGAAGCGGCGGGCACCGAGTCACCAGGCACGACAGTGGGCTCCGAGTCAACTGGCATGACCGCTGGCACTGGGTCAGACATTGGATCGTCTGGCTGGACAGCGGGCATCGGGTCACCAGGCATCAGGTCATTTGGCTCGACAGCGGGCACCGCGTCATCTGGCAAGGCAGTGGGCTCCGAGTCAACTGGTATGACCGCGGGCACTGGGTCAGACATTGGATCGTCTGACTGGACAGCGGGCATCGGGTCACTAGGCATCAAGTCATTTGGCTCGACAGCGAGCACCGCGTCATCTGGCAAGGCAGTGGGCTCCGAGTCAACAGGCACGACAGTGGGCACCGGGTCACCAGGCATTGGATCGTCTGGCTCGACAACGGGCATCGGGTCACCAGGTACGACAGCGGGCTCTGAGTCAATTGGCACGATAGCGGGCACCGGATCAGGTACCGGATCATCTGGATCAACAGCGGGCATCGAGTCAACTGGCCTAATAGGATCATCAGGCTGGATCAGTTCATCATGCTGGGTAGAGGCATCAGGCTGAATGCCGGCGTCCGGCTGAGTAGAGGCTTCAGGCCGAGTAGAGGCTTCAGGCCGAGTAGAGGCTTCAGGCCGAGTAGAGGCTTCAGGCCGAGTAGAGGATTCAGGCTGAACCACGGAAGGCAGGTTCACTGGTTTGGATACTGGCAGGATGGTATTGGTTGGAAAGAATTTTCGCTTTTTTCTGGTTTTAACTACTGGAGCACTGCAAGTAAACGCAGGTCTGCAAACGAATGGAGCAGCTGGAGACAGAGAAGAACTGGAGGATGGAACAGGAGAGGGAGCAGTTGCTACAGAGGGCTTTTTTACAGGGTTAAAGGCAGGATAGGTGCAGCGAATGGGAACAGGGTACTGACATGCGGTAGATAGCCAAGTATACTGGGCTGTAACTGGGGGAGTTGTTGGGAATACAGGAGTAGAGCTTTGAGGAAATAGATTAGAAGCAGGACTGGGTCTTTGTAAGCTGACTGAGGCTGGGTGCAACAAATCTGTCCATTACTGCAGTATGGGTTGAACAAAGCTGAGCTTACACAAAGCCTGTCTGACCAAAGACTGCACTGCGTTTATACAATCTCTTAGTACCTGTGGTGAACATGTGGAATAACGTTCCAGAAAGTAACCCACATCATCCTCTAATAACCACACCAGGGACTCTACCTGGTCTGCACTAAATGGTGGCAAAAAGTCATCCCTGCATTCGGGGAAACCAGATGAAACCAACTCAACACAAACCTTAATCAATGGCTGCACCATAGAGAAATCTGTGCCCCGATCTACTAGAACATGAGCGAGCCGTATACATTCTAGCAGTTCATCCCGGGTATACTCCTTCAGAGTCTGATAAGCATATTCTCTGTCATCAAGCACTAGCAGAGATAAATACTCAACCTCATCCAGATCCATCCTTCCCAGCAACAAGCCAAGATGGCTTCCCTGTGCAGCCACTTCTGGTCAGGATTGGCCTTGGTGTAATGTCAGGGCTCCCAGGTGTGACCAGAGGTGTGTGACTGACGCAGGGAAACGCAGACTTCAGATATGTGATAAACAATATAATTTATTAACACTAACCATACAAACATAAACGCAGTGCAATACTAAAACATAATACAGTGCAAACAAACCAAACCAACCACCCACAGATAACAGTACATACAAGCAAGCGTCGTCAGGCAGGCCGGGTCAATATCAATAGGGCAGGTAGGTACAGGGGGAGCAAGCGGAGATGGGTCGGGGTCACAGGCCAGGTTCAGCAGGTAGCAAGCAGCATGGTACAGAGGGTCAGGCAGAGGGATGGTCAGGGTCACAAGCCAGGGATCAGAACAGGTAGCAAGCAGCGTGGTACAGAGGGCCAGGCAGAGGGATGGTCAGGAGCGAGCCGGGATCAGAGCAGGAGAAGTCAGCAGCGGTTCAGATCAGGCAGGGTCAGCAAAGGAACAGAAACAGGATGCAGGACAGATACAGGGCCCAGGACAAACACAACACCAAGGCAGAGTCTGCAAGTCTGGCCATCCCTTAAATACACCAGTATCATCAGTTCCAGGTGTTAGCTGGCTGAAAGGTTGAGTCTCTGATTGCTGGGAGCACCCGCTGGCCAGCCCTGGTACTGCAGATCAAAAGGCAGGTGAGTCCCACCATTGCTGGCCAGTCCATTCCTGACAGGTATTTTCGAGTCATAGTGTCATGTGTTTCCATCGTGCAGGCTGGTCATCAGCATCATGGAAACACATGATGGTAATCCAGGGTGGGTAGTATTCTGAGCAGATCCAGCATTTTCAATGGTATGGAAGCCCTCTACAGCTTTAACCTGTTCCATCTCCTGCCCACTGCCATGTTGCCACAGAAAAGGTGAAGATCAGAAGTTAGGGCTCCTTTGTTAAAAGGTGGAGGGGGGAACTGCGGACTTTGATTTGAAAGGATGGGGGAGAAACTGAGGACTGTTTGAGGATTCCAATATGAAAGAAGGGTAGGGGAAAGTGATAACAGATGATACACCACCTGCTCACAAGGTCTTTACTTGTAATCACACTGGAAAAAAACAATGTTTAAGGTCCAGTTCACTTCTATTCACAGCCTATTCACATTGCTGTCAATTAATCCTTGATGAAGAGGGCACTCTTTGACCCCCGAAACGCATTGGATAATTTTTGATTGTCTCCCTGACTTTTATTAGGACAAAATTGTACTTTGAACTCTGAGCACTGGTGTGGTTCTTCAAAGGGTGGAGGTCACTGAGGAATCTGATGTGAAAGGGGGGGGGGGGGGGGGTTTAATGAATAACATAATGGGAGGGGCTTAGGACTCCAAAGTGAAAGGGGGATTTTGAGGTGACAGGGACCCTATTTTACACTGGGGTGCCTCGAGATTTTGCATACCTTCAAAGGGTGTCACGACTAAAAAAAGTTGAGAAACACTAATTTATAGGACAACAACAATTTATAACATACAGTAGTTAAAATATGTCTTTATTTAAGTTTTCAGGTGTTACATTACCTCTTGAGAAGAGGAGATTAAGGGGGATATGATCAATATAAATACATCAGTGGTTCATATAGCGAACTCGGTGTAGAGCTATTCACCCTGAGGTCATCAGAGAGGAAAAGGGGGCACTCTTTACGTCTGGAGGAAAAGACATTTAATTTCCAAACACGGAAAGGTTTTAAGCCAGACTATGTAACTATGTAACATCATGTAAATAATATGACTCTACAAGATAGAACAGTAAAAAATTGTGGGGAGGGAGGAGGAAGGAAGTGGAGATGGGAATATGGTACAATGGTTGGTACATTGGAGTACAGAACACACAAATCAGATCATCACTTCCACATAAATAGAAGTAGCCAGGATCAGGTGGTAAAATTGGACAAGGTTGGATGCTGGAGAGACATCTGCAATTGAGCATTGAATCAGGCTAAGATGAGACTTTGATATCCATTTACAGACACCGTGATCTCTTATGTATGTTTATTTGGAAGTATATGTCCTTTCTAATTACAGTAGGACATCTTCCCTTAGGTTGCTGCTGTGATATATTATGGGTTTGAGACCCCTAAAGATTTGACCCTTCTTTACTTGTCTCACTATAGCTGTGCACATACTGTATGTCTGCCGTTCAGTGAAGCATTATTAAGGGCCATCCAAGGTAATTTAGACTACAATTAAATGCAGCTACAACTTGGTTGTGTTGGGACTGTTTGTATTGTGTGTAGAGGTGATCAGCCCTGCATATGCTCAAATTGTGGAGACATCACAGCCACCATATTTTGCCTCTATAGGAGCATACAGGCAGAAACTGTAATCCATTTCCACATGGTGTACAAATGCCTCTGTTCCAGGTACCTCTTATCTGCATATGTGGGGAACTTTCACAATGTATCCTTGTATACCTCTTAAAGCAGAAATGTGCTGCATAGGACTAAATGGATATTTATGTATTGAGGATGGCTGTCTTTATGGTGCTGCACAACGCCTAGAAACAAGCACTGTATCTGATTTTATTCTTTTATCTATGGGAGTACCCATGTAGGTTAAACCAATTCAAATCATTTTACATTTGACAGGTGTGCAGCCAGAGCACCCCAACAAATTTGGGTAAACAAAAGTATCTGATTTTGTGTGGAATATGTGTGATGGAGATCGAAGTGTTAAATGATGTATGCCTTTGTGGCACATATATGGGTAAGGGTTATAGTATTGGCTTTAGTAAAGCTAATAAATAATGTTATATTTAAGATATACACCCACCGGCCACTTTATTAGATACACTTTGCTAGTACCGGGTTGGACCACCCTTTCACCTTCAGAACCTTGGTGGCAGGTGTTGGAAACATTCCTCAGAGATTTTAGTCCATATTGACATGATAGCATGGCTTTCTATCATCTCTACCCAGTCTGCCCATTGTCTTCTGACTTCTGATATCAACAAGGCATTTTCGTCCACACAACTGCCGCTCACTGGATATTTTCTCTTTTTAGGACCATTCACTGTAAACCCTAGAGATGGTTGTGCATGAAAATCCCAGTAGATCAGCAGTTTTTGAAAAACTCAGATCAGCCCATCTGGCACCAACAGCCATGCTATATTCAAAGTCACTTAAATCCCCTTTCTTCTCCATTCTGATGCTCATTTTGAACTTCAGCAGGTCGTCTTCACCACATTAACATGCCTAAATGCATTGAGCTGCTGCCATGTGATTGGCTGATTATCAGTTTGTGTTACCAAGCAATTGAACAGGTGTACCTAATAAAAGTGACCGATGAGTATATATGCTTGATGGCAGCTTTGTTGAAATAGATTTGTGTAGAAGGATATAGGATATGTCTCAATAGCTGAACATCCAAATATTCAGAATGTTTTCATATACCATGATATCTTATTTTAAATTGTGTACAAATAAACAGATATTTTATAGGGAAAGAGCTCTAGCTTTATTATTATAAATATATACTTTTTTGTTTTATGATGATGACTATATTTAGGGTTATATATGGTCCTTAGAAGTCAATAGGACAAGGTTTTCTCTTGAGGAATTGAAGTATTATTTTGTACCACTAGTACCAAGGCCTTTGGACCTTGAAGGTGGGGGGATTCAGTAGCCATTGGGTAGAAAGTTTAGGGCATTACTATCTTGTAAAGAGATCCATGCAGAACATATACTTTCATACCCATACTCATACTCTCTGTCATCACTCAGTAAATGCTGACCATGGATGATACCTAAACAAAGATGGTGCAGTCCTTCTGGAGAAAAAGAATATAAAGGTATTTTCAGAGCAAAAAAACCCAATAACATACACATAGTACTTTTCAGCAATGCACGCTCATTTGCCCATGTTTTATCGCTTTAAGCACATTGCAAGTATTTAAACATGCTATAAATGTGCTCAGCTCATAGAGATCGCTTTGCCACACTATTAATTTCAACAACACCTCCCTTCTGTAGACATCCAAGACAAGAAAACAAATCTCTTTCTAATTTTATTTTACGCTTGTTTTCATCTTTATTTCATAACAAGTTAAACACCACACTTAGTTTGGAGGGACGTTGTACCCTAATACCTCCCTGTGACATCAACTCCAGGAGGTATACCCAATATGTTCAATTGCCAGGAGGTCCTGAGGAAAACTCAAGCACATCACTAAAATGATATCTCCCAGGCAGCCTTTTAACACTTTGAAACTCGCCAGGAGGAACTGGAGCTTGTGACTGAGCAAAGGAAAGTCAAGATTGGCCTTCTCACACTCATTTATCCCAAAAGGGATTAAGTGGTCTGAAAATAATGAAGATATTTCCAAATTTTCTGCAGCTTCCATAACGCTCTCAGCTACAGTTTGGATCTCATCCTTACTTCCACCTCCCAGAAACATTTGCTGACAAAGCATGTATTAGGCATGTTCCATAAAGCATTACGACATGAAGATAGTATGTCTTCATCAGGATATCAGTGTAATATTCCTGGAACGGACTACCTCAGTGACCAAATTCACATTGGCATCTGTGCCTGTGGTGTCACACCAGTTCATAGATATTTCCTTTTGGTTTGTAAAGTCATAGGAGTTTGCATTTTTGGTTAATTAATCCTAGACAAACACTTACCAATTTCCTTTTTGGTTGCAGGAGGCCGTGCTGGTTTCTTTGGTATCTCTTTGAAATATTGTTATTTTAGATCAGACATTGTAAAGCAATTTAACCACTGTTGTCCAACTTGTGGCTGTCTGGCTGTCAAAAAAGTCCCAGTAGGATTGGCAGAGTGGGTTGAGGGTGAATGGTGTCCCCTTATGCAACGTGCCGGAGTAAAGAAATGAGGTTGAAACTTTTACTCTTTAAATGGATGTAGTAGGTGGTGGGAGGTGAGTATAGTTCATATTAGGTCAGCTGCTTGTGTGTATACCAGGAAAGTAGAGAACATACATACTGGTTGATTCCACTGCTGAAATGAGTGTGTGTTCTTTGGCTCTGAAATGCATGTTCAGGAAGATGGGAGATTTCCCATCAAGATGCAACATTTGTGCATTTTCACTGTCCCTTCCATTTGTCAGGCTACAGTGCTACAGGTATAATGGTGGTGTATCAGCGCAATTACTGCTGAGAGCCTATAATAGCCTAATAATGGTGGTCCATGTAGCACTGAGGACAAAGCTGCTTGAAAAAGGAGCGCACTTCCGCCTTCCACGGCCAGTGCATACTCCGAAACGCATCGCAGTGCATCCTAGGTGTCTGACGTCATCACGGCCACGCCGCCGCTCCGCTCCAGTGTGCGTTCCACCAAGCTCAGAGGGAGGACATGCACGCCGGCTGGCCTCACCGCTGCCCTCCTCCAGCTACCACGCTGCTCCAGCGACTAAGCTGACCGCTCCACACCGCAGCAGATGACGTGGGCCTCCACGTGGCTCTGGCGGCATAGCGTCTCCTCCTTAGGAGGAGCCTGGACGTGGAGGCCCAGCGGCCATCATTCATAGTGTCAGGGTTAGTTGTCTTGCTGACACATCTTGATGATACCTGCCAAATTTT